CAGAATTTAAAATATAATGAAATGATAGAAGGTATACCTAAATCATCTTCATCATTAGAATCTTCCAAATCATCATCACTCATATTCCAATCTAACAAGTCTAACATTTCTTGTTCACTTAAAGGTTTAGGCATCATTAAAAATAAAATTCAAAAGCTACTGCAATTAAAATAAAAATTATGCTGGCATGCAAAAAATGTATAAATATAATATGATATTTCAATTTGTTTTCCATGAATGCGCAATGTATCATGGGTGATACATTTAGAAAAATCATGCAATGCGCAATGTATCATATAAGATACATTTAAAAAAAGTTACATAAATCATATACTTACCAAGAAATCGTCGTAAACCACTGTATTTAATTAATCTTGACAATATACTTATTTAAATTATAATTTTTTTCAACGCATAAAACAATTAGATCAATAAAAAAACATCATTTGAAAATCTGTTATTTTCTGAATATGTATTCAGTATTAAAGTGATAAAAACTTCTACAATCAGTTATTTTGGAGGGAAATTTAATAAGAATAATAATTCGGTTAATAGATAAGAAACACTAAATTATCGTCATAAAAACGAAATTTCATATTTATATGTGGTAATCACTGTTTTTTTCAAATGTATCATAAATAATACGTTGCGCAGTGTAGGGTTAAATACACAAGATACACTATTTAATATAATATTTATTATAAAATTATATAATATACTATTTAATCAATATACGTTTTTACAAATTACTAATGTACTTATACAATTTTGTTGTACTATAATAAAATTAAAACAAAATTTTAGTATAGTAATGATATTTTTTTATCATTAGCTAGAGCAAATGTGTTTAAAATGTCTTCACTATTAATATTATTTGATATACGAGTATCTCTCTCAATATGTATTTATATGTACAGATAAATTTGAAAACCTATATATTATTTACTATCTATTAAAATAAAGAATAGATAAGTAGGTTACCAACACATTTTTTTAATTATTTAAAAATTAATTATTACTGACTTGTAAAATTGGTCGGTATGGTCCGGTATGAATGTCACCCAAATCTTTTGGACTTTGAATTATACCATCAGGCTATACTTTCTTTACCAATAAAGGCAATTCGACAGTCGATGTATTATCTTGTTCTTGTTCATGCATAGGATTAATTTTCTTTTTAAAATTGAATACATCAAAAAATTTTTTTTTATCCATTTTATACAATCAGAAAATTTAAATTTAAATCACTAAATGTATGACAAAACAGTAGTGCAAAACGCAAAAAAAAGTAAAACTATATTTTAACACATCAGCAACGATTATTAGCAACGGTCGGTTATGGTAAAAATACCATAGAATAATCAATAAATGCATTGCGCAATAGCCATAAGCCGATAACAACAATTTCACAGAACATAGGTAGGTATGCATTACCCACAGTCTTAATCTAAAAATAGATTTGTCGTAAATATTGTATCCACATATGTTTTTTCATGATTGTATCACAAATAACACGTTAACTATAATTTAAGTATTTTTAATTTGGAAAAAAAATGTTTACTATAGTTTAATCAATATGGAATATTTTCTGGGGGGCTAAATTGCAGTCAGGGGCTAAACCCCCTCTAGATCACCATAGTTGCGCCAATGCCGGTGGGTAATAAAGAACCAGCCAAATGATAGACTTGACCTTGAACTTTAAATGTTGGTATAAAATTTCCATGTCTAATTTCTATTGCATCAAATGATGTCATTTGGAATGCCGAAATATAAACACGTATCATGTCAAAAAAATGCTTTGAATTTTCATGAGAAAAGAATCAGCAATGTCTCCCAAAACAACTTTCCTCCTGAATAGTAAAAACCGCAGGCTCTTTGGACCATTTCAATGCACGGCAATAATTACATTTTAAATTCATATTTCCTATGATAACATGAGAATAATTTTTATAATTTATTAATTTATCATAAGTAAATGCCGAAATTTCACGGCGAAGCCATGGAACACGTTCAATTAAATTTTCGTCAGTAGGAAAATTGTGAATATTTTTAATAATATCGACTATACCACTATCATTAAATGCAAAGTTGTTATTAATATTGTTATCATAAATACTACTAACACTATTGGTAATAGATATATTATTTATACTATCAACATTATTGTTATTAATACTGTTACTAATAATATTGCAGTTATCTGGCGAGCCATTGTTATTTTGACTTAATCTGAGTAAACGTTGACGTTTTATTCTATTCGATGATGTAGCGTGAACCACGTATGTGTCGCCACCTAGCGGTGTCCAATTATGCAACTGACACCGACGAACCCGCTCTCTTTGACATGCGCGGCGCGTCGCACCTTTCGCGTCATTTAATATCCAATATAGAGAGCTCTTTTTTCACTGACGATTTTCTTTCCGAACTTCTTTTTACATTTTCTAATCTTTCAAATTAATTTCGTGATCTCCACTGCTAAAAAATCATCAATATATATCTGTAAGCACTTCTCGAAACTACTCCGCGTCACAATACATCTTCAATTTAAAAGAAAACTAAGAAAAACCAAAAACATTGCTAACCTACACTCTGCTATACAAATCCAGATCTGACACGCTTAAATACCCGGCCAAATAAACTCAAAATCACTTCTCTCGCAGTTGTTCTGTCGAACTTCTATGGGTACTATGCATATAGAATATAATTCGTTGTATTTCACTATATGTTACGTAGTTCCCCGTAGTCAAGTAGATTGACAACTAGCCAGTTGAACTTCATCAACTGTGACGTCGTCAACTTCCCTAGCAATACGAACATTAGCCGCCATCCACAGTGCCGCTGCCCGTCGTATTTTATCTTTTTTTTTATTACCAACTCAATCCAGGACATCCCACCGCTGGTTCAGCCGCCCGCCACTTTGCCACGGACAAGCCAAGCAGCTCTTGCGGTTTGGGAGGAACTGTTCTCCATCAATCTTTCAACATTTAAAACTAAAATAATCAGTAATATATCTTCATATAAATGCTATATATGTTTGTGTCATATTTGTAATTTTATAAATAAATATTATTATCATCTATTTATATAAAAACATTGTCTAATATACTTGGAAATATATATATATATACGTATACCTTGATAATCCGACACATAGAGGAGAGTCAAACGTTACAATGAAAGACCTAAATTAATTTTCCTTTTAATTGTGATAAATGGCTACGGAGGCCAGATATATTGAATAAACAACGACAAAAAAATTAGCAAATATTACTGAAAAATAAAATATTTAAAAAAATGAAATTACTTATAATTATTAGTGTTTACTATTTAAATTCCGGCAATATTTGACAATACATCGATGCACAAATGCAGCTTTATTTAAAATGTCAGTCTGTCTATCCTTATTAGCCGCAATTGTAGTGATTGACACGCATAAAGCATTATTAGCTTAACCATCGGCTGTCGGACACGTTTGGGGGTCAGGGAGGATCGATTGTAGTGATTGTGAAAATCCAGAATGCTTGTCATGTTGCCAATTCTACGTAGCAGGCCATTATTTATAATAATTGATAACTCTTTTGTTTATTTACGAGAGAATCAACCAAATGCCATAAATCTACTCCGCAATGAGCTATTAAATTAAAAAAAAAAAAAATCATAACGATCGGTTCAATAGTTTCCGAGAAAATAGACCTCAAAGGTTTTCATTTTTACATTTATATAATAGATATATCGTGTAATACTAAATCAAAGAAGGTATGTCAACCACCGAAGACCAGAAAACAGGTACAATCTTTCTTGGGCTTTATCAATTTTTATCGGAGATATATTCGAGACTTGTCAGGTCTTACCAGTGTACTAAGCGACCTTACCAAGAAAAACGTATCCTGGTCATGGGGACCAGAGCAGCAAAAAGCATTCGAGGCCATTAAAAAGCAATTCCTCGAGGATATTGTCATCGAGTATCCAGACTTCAACAAGCAGTTCTACCTATCGTCAGATGCCTCCCGGACACATATAGGGGCTGAACTATTCCAAGTAAATGAACAAGGCAAACACCAGACACTGGAATTCGCTAGTCGTACGCTGAACAGTGCCGAACAAAATTATTACACCACCGAACTTGAGCTACTAGCCATAGTATTCGGCTGTAAAAAGTTCCGTAACTACATCTTGGGATATGCCACAACAGTGCTCACCGACCATCACGCCCTCACCTTTCTGAACAAAAGATCCTCCAGGAAGAAGACCCTAAACTACAGAAAATTTTTCACCGGATACAGAGCAAACCAAGTAATTTTTTTGATATATATCAAGGATTACTATTTTCGGTAGTTAAGGCAGGAAAATACCGCGTAATGATTCCAGCCGTGATGGCAACTAGATTCGTAACGAAAGTACATGAAGAATACGGACACTTTGGTGCGTCATAGGTGTATAATGTTTTAAGACTCAACTGCCAAATGAACCAAAGTACGCGCAAGTGAAAAAAATAATCAAGACTTGTGAATTATGTCAAAAGAGTAAGGTTACAGTAACTAAGTGGCCAGGGGACCAACCATAGCCACCATACTCGACGGACCCAGAAAATTAATATCACTCGATCTGATGGGGCCCTTGCCCAGGGGACAGCTTGGTTCCAGGTACATATTAGCAATGATAGATGTCTTCTCTAAGCATATACAGTTATATGCGATCCGGAAGGCCGATGCGAGTACAATCATCAAACGAATCAGGGAAAAATATATCCCAAAAATGGGTCATTTCGAGCGGATCTTGACGAACAACGGGACGCAGTTTCACAGCAAAAAGTGGGAAGAAGCAATGCTGTAGTTAAACATAAAAATCTCGAGAACTACAGCTAACCACCCGGAGAACAATCCAGTGGAGCGGGCGAACAGGGAAATAGGACGTATACTAAGGGCCTACTGTCATCGGAAGCACACCACTTGGGTGAAATGGTTACCAAAGGTTGAATACTGGATTAACCATATTACGCACGAGGCCATCGGTTACACGCCACACGAAATCATGACGGGAGAAAAACCTAATACCACCCTGAGTAAACTAGTTCCATTACCGACTGGAGGATTACCTCAGAATATGAATGTAATACTACACCTAGCAAAGAAACGGCTCCAAAAAGCTGTGAAGAATAGAATTGCTGCTAAGGACCACAAAAAACAATACCCTACTTACGTAGCGGATCAACAAGTGTTGGTACGAGAACATAGACTTTCATCGGCCATAGATCAAGAGATCCACAAATTTTTCCTACTCTACCACGGGCCATACGAGATATTGGAAGTAAGGACCCATAGCAATACAGTAGTGATCGATCAAGAAGGAGTCATGAAAAGTGAAAATTTCAAAAATATAAAAAGATATTGGCCTCCAGATCCAGGAGATACCGCAATAAGCGTTAGAAATCATTAATTGTCCTAAGTGTTGTGTTTATGTGTGGTAAAGGTACACAGTAATAACTATGTATATATGTAAAATTGTGTTTGAACACTCATACGGAGCGACGCAGTGTATCTGAATGTACATATTGTAAGAAAAAAGAAAGTAAGACACGAGGAAGAAACATGAATACGGAAGAAAAATTAAAAACCCGTCTACAAAACCGATACGTGGATTTATTAGAGTCAGTCTACATAACTGACGATGAAGAAAGAAGAGGAGAAGAGAAAACCGTACCAATACTCAGAATGGACACTACTCCAGTCGCACTAGACCGCGAGTATCAGAAGAAAATAGCCCAAAAATACCGGCAGAAGACCGCCCCAACAGACCAACTACTCCTTGGAACCAACATTCACATTTCCGCCATCAATACAATTAGTCAAGCTCACCGATGAAGATAAATCGGATGTATTAAAACTGGGGACAGCAGACGTTAATCTGGACGGAGACGACCAGTCACCACCGGCACCGCCACCCGAGGTAAGGACAACAAGTCCGCCGCCAAGAATATCTGCTGGGACAGCAAACAACCATACCGGTAATATAAATTAATTAAATAGTGTTTTAAATAAAATAAAACAAAATATATAATTATTTTTTAGTTACGGGTTATCCACATTACACGCTTATATCAGATTTTTTGAATGCTTATTACACATAAGTTATCGTATGGACTTTAAAGTATGGAAAGTAGGTATCTCAACTATTAAATCAAATACATTTTTGCAGTAATTTATATGTCTAACGTTTTATGATTCTATTATTTTATAGGCTAGTAAAAAAGACGGAAAAGATATACTATTGAAGCAAAAAAAATTGAAAATCCAAAATGAATTTCGTTCAAGATTAGGTTTGTTGGTAGATATGCCAAAACAAGGTTTTGGATCCTCAAATGATGGTAATACGGCTAGAAGATTCTTTAAAAATTATAAAATTTCTTCAGAAATTACTGGCGTTTCTGAAGTTCTTATTTATCACTTTTATGTTATTTTACAATGTTTATCGTCTGGTGAAAATATCAATATTGATAAGTTCGAAGTGTATTGTTGGGAAACGGCAGAGTTGTATACTAATTTATATAGTTGGTATTACATGCCACCAAGTGTACACAAGATATTAATACATGGCTCATCAATAATAAAATCGTTTGTTTTGCCAATTGGAATTTTGAGTGAGGAGACTCAAGAATCACGCAATAAAGACATTAAGAGGTATAGAGAGTCTTACAGCCGAAAGTCTTCCAGGATTAATATTAATACTGACATTTTTCAAAGGCTGTTACTATCATCGGATCCTCTTATAAGCAGTTTCAGAAAAGTTGATAAACATAATATAAAAAAACTGCTCCCAGAAGTCGAAGATTTATTGCTAGACATAAATTATTGCAGTGATTGGGAACCAGAATACATTTCAGAATGAAAAATAATAATTAAAACAAATTGTAATATATTTTATATCAATAAAAATGTATTTCAATGATAATTGTATACATATAAATATCATAGTTTCAGTTATTTATTTTTGGCTACCTTTTTTAGTTTTTCGACCACTGTGCGCCGCGCTCATACGTTGATAGCCACGGTACACCTAACCGTGTATAGATCAGGCTATCACGGGTCACCGTCATTCCTAAAGGTACGTTTCGACTATACACGGTCCGGTGTACGTGCATAAATGACCATTGTGAACGGTTTCCCAAACGTTTCATTCTGGTTACCCTCGATAACAGAGGTTCCATATTTTGTGGTTTTTGATATCTATTATCATTGCATTTTTATTGATTATAATTAATATTGTTAATTGTTTATTATTAAAGATATATAAAACTATTTATTTAGTTATGAGTTATGACTAATTAATTATTGTATATTAATATTTTCGTCATTCACAAAATGGAAGAATATAATATAGAATTATATAATTATAAAATTATATAATTTAATAAGGAAATGTACAGGAGAAAAGTGTTGCTTTTATTTTTATATAATTTACGCAGAAAGAAAAAACATCACAGATACATAACATAATTTTTATTTATGGTAAATTAATACTACTTTATTCATATTTTGTATTATTGAATTTTTCAGATCAAAACCTAGATGGAATGTAAAACCGTTTTTGAAAGAAAGGAGAGTTCATGGCCATTGTCATTGCTTAACAAATTAAATGCAATTAACAAATTCAGTATTGTACCAAAACTTTATTAGAATGTTGGCCAGTACATTTGAAGAACTGATTTGCCTTATTGGACCAAAAATAATACGATATGCAAGTCGGCCTGATATATTATCAGTCAATGAAGTATTAACTACAACTTTGCGGTAATTAAATTTTAATTATAATTCATTGTATAGCAATAATTACTAAGCCATTTTCCCTTAATGTTACAAACATCTGGAGAATCCATGATGTCTATAACGTATGCATTTCGTATAGGGAAAAGTACAGTATCAAATTTGATATTGCAATGTTGCTCAGTTTTATGGGATATTTTAAATCCAAAAATATGAATATACTCACGAATTACGAAAATTGTCACAGTTAGCGGAAGATTTTGAAAATAAATGGCAAATGTCTAATTGTTTTGGTAGCATTGATGGTAAACACATCGTACACCAGGTGATTATATAATAGTACCTTTTCATTTGAACAAATAAAAATTACTCATACATAAACACACACATATTATGACATGTATTGATATTGTTCATTATTGGTTTTAAATGTGAATAGAAAATATACTATGTTTAGAAATGTATTTTTTATAGGCATTTGCAAACTGTACAAAATACACTTATCCGAGACAAACCGGTCCGGTTTATACGATAATGCGATATTGCGTTTTCTCGGCTCTTCTAGAATCTTCCAATCGATACCACCACCCCCCGCACTAGCGAACTTTTATCGCTACTCCGATCACCGGTCGTCGGAACATTGCGGTGCAAGTCAGTCGTCGGCGTCTCTTTTTCCTGGCTGTGTGGTCGTCGGCGCTCTGGGTCCGGTGTACCATCATTGTTGCCATTTTGGCGTGCGACGTTCCGTTGTTGTCGCTATGGTGGCCATTGGCGTACGACGTTTTGTTGTTGCGGCTGTTGTTGCCACTGTCGTTGCTGTTGACGTGCGACGGTTTTCGACGTCCAGTTCACGTGGCTGTTGGTGCCGCTGTTGCTGCCGTGGACCATTGGAGTTGTGTGGGCTGTGGTTGATGGTGGTATGAGTCGGCGTCGGTGAGAATACAACGTGCTGTCCGTGCACTGGAGCAATGTCAGGTTCATTTATTGGTTTATATCATTATTTTAATTCTGGTCGTATTGTCCTTTATGTATATTATCTTTAGTTAGCGGGCGCCCCAATCAAATATGTAACCAATCAATATGTACTTTGTATACCTTGAATTTATAGTTGTATTTGTTTATTTCAATAACACGGCGGTGCTGCTGGCTTGCCGTCATTATATGTATACGGTGTGTTATTTTATTTATTCACCATATGCGGCATATATTGTAAATTGGTCACCTTGTCCTGTCCCGTTTAATTATTATAGTTCATAAGAATAAGAAGCCAAACAACGAAAGCAGACAAGGGTTAATTCCCACGTAAAAGGAGGCTGTCTGCGTTGGTAAGTTTTTTTTTTTATCCTCTTTTTACACAAACACTGGATCTTCTCACTATAACTATAAAGGGTCAAATAGTATAATATTACTGGCAATGTGTGATGCCAGTTACAACTTTGTATTAGTAGATATTGGTGCAGCTGGTAGATGTAGCGATGGTGGTGTATTTTCAAGCTCAGAAATGGGCAAAAGTTTTATTAACAATATATTAAATGTACCTACTGAAAAAGAAATAGGTCAATATGGTCTAATTCCATTTTATGCAGTAGCTGACGAAGCATTTCCTCTGCTAAAGAACCTAATACGCCCTTTCCCAGGAAGAGGTAAAAGAAAATTACCATTAGATGAATCAATTTTCAACTATAGGTTGGTTTTATCTATTAAACAAATTTTAAAATTAATGTAGATAACTAAAATATTTTTTCAACACAGGCTATCCAGAAGTAGACGTACCATTGAGAATACGTTTGGTATTATGGCATCTAAATGGCGTATTTTAAGAAGGCCTATAATTGCTGGAGAAAAAACCGTGAATGCAATTACAAAAGCTGTTGTTGTATTGCATAACTTTGTAAAAATGTCAGAAAAAATGCTAGTAATTATTTAATAAAATAAAATAAATTTTTTAACTAACATTATGACACATTTTATAGAAGTTCGATATTACAGTAGCCCATTAGATGTTGAACTTATTCAAAGGGAACAATGGAGGTCACAAGAAATGGGAGCTTTAGCCAGCGTCCATCAATTAGGAACCAATACTTAATCGACAGACGCCAAAATAATAAGAAATAAATTAAAAAATTATTTTTCAACAGAAGGAGCAATTGCATTCCAATATGAAAATATATGAATACCTACAATTAATTGAATAAAAAATTTATTTGAACAACGAAATCTTAACATCTTAAAATGATTTAAATTATAACAAAAAAAACAACATTATCTCACATAATTATATAAGACTTAAGTAGCATAGATTCCATTTGGATTCCATAATGACTAAGCCGTCGCCGTGTAAAAACTAAAAAATAAAAGTAAAAAAGTGTACTGTGCACAAGTAAAATAAGATTGTGATAACTGATAACTGTCAATTAACTGATGATATGAAACATGTTATCAAAAACTTGTAACAAGTACACCATAGAGTAATATAGAGAGGGCATAGTCTATACTGTACGTATTAAGAAAGTGAAGCCGGGCAGTAATAATAGTACTCACTTACCGAAACTATTGGTCGCGAGGTAGCGTGCATGTTCTAACCCCAGATTTATATTTTGTACATTTTTTATTTAACATTTTATTATCAACAACGGTTTTATGATTGAGCATTCTCATTCCTCGTTCGTAGACTTTCCTTTACTTGTTGTTTACTTTGTCGACTTTGTTGTGTGTCTTTTTTTGTATTAACTGTTTCTATACATTTGAAAAATTGTTTTCATTTGAATTGCAATGTCAAGCTGTAATTTGTGTGGTGGAACGCAAAACTCTAAGAGTAAAGAGAAACAAATTACTTTTCACAGGTGAGTGAGATTTATTAGTAATTAATGCATTGACATACCTACCTTTACCTTGTATACAATTTAATTGTTGTGCAGTTATGCACTCTTATAAAGTATAACTTTATAATAAATCATAATTAGAATAATGTTTCAGAAAAAAATATAAATTAGTTCATAACCATAAACATCTGAAGTTGTTCCACTATTATTATTCTTTTCCTAATATATTTTGAATGATTTTGCTTACATAGGTATCCAAAATGTTCAGAGATCCGTGAAAAGTGGATTGAGTTCAGTAGACGCTATGATGAGCATAGAAGCATAATAGTAAATGATAAAAGTATTGTGTGTTCTGTTCATTTTGTGACTGACTCTTTTAATGTGTATAATTAAAATACTATGTTGAAACATACAGCTATACCATCGTTAATTATTCAACGTGTTCGTTTTGTAAGTTAATTGTACATAATAATTTTTTATTAATTTTATAATCATTCATTATACTAAATTTTATATTATTGTATTATGTTAGAGTAAATTAGATTATCCTGAGTTAACAACAAATTTGCATTCTGATGAGAAACAAAAAGTGAATGTTATTGAAGATATTGCTTGTAGTTCCATTGTAGCACCATTTCTAAATCTCCTAAGGTATATGAACCTGAAATGGATGGAGTTGAATATCTAGAACCTAGTAGTTCTAAAGGCAAAATTGCAAATACCAATGACAGTCTAGTATCTAATAACGAATTGTCAACCAGTGTATGTTTATTATAATTTTTTTTTTTATGTTACAAAAAGTTTATCACAATATTAATGTTTATTGTTCTTATTGTTTTTACTAGATCAATAGAGAATTGTTTGTTGAAGCCAGTGTTGTGGAAGACGATGATACACCCAGAAGACGATTTCTTAAACGAGGAATTTCCGTTCTAGCCCATGACACAATTTTGAAATCAAAAAAAATTAAAATATTGAACCAAACAATCCGACGCCAAAGAAAAAAAATTGTATCTTTAAAATTCACAATTTCGAATCTTAAAGATAACAACTTAATAAACGAAGACACATCAACATTGTTACTGGATAATTTTAGTGAGAATAAACATTTAATAACTAGGCTTACTAAAAAAAATGCTGGAATGGCGCCAATTAGAAAATATTGTCCAGAACTTCGTAGATTTGCTATTTCCTTGCACTTTCGTTCTGTATCTGCTTACAACTTCGTTAAAAAAGAATTTAATACAATTCTTCCACATCCTCGTACGCTTGGAAAATGGTATTCTAATACCAATGCTGAACCAGGGTTTACAATAGAAGCTTTTAACACTCTTGCCTTAAAATGTAAAAATACTTTAAACCCTGTTTATTGTGCACTAGTTGTAGATGAAATGGCTATAAGACAGCATGTAGAATGGGATGGAACAAATTACCATGGCTATGTAAATGTTGGCGATTCTATTTGTAATGAAAGCATGGAAAAAGCTAAAGAGTCCTTAGTTTTTTTAGTAGTTGCTATTAATGAGGCATGGAAAATTCCTATTGGCTATTTTTTAATCAATCATATTAATAGTTCACAGAAAGCAGAATTAGTAAATCGTTATATAGACCTTCTAAGTAAAACTGGAGTAACAATTGTCTCTCTTACATTTGATGGATGCACAACCAACATGAATATGGTCAAAATTCTTGGTTGTGTTTCGGATGTTGACAAGTTGAATACAAGTTTCAAAGTTGATGGCGTTGCCAAAAACCATATCAATAATTCCAGATCCTGCTCATATGGTAAAATTAATAAGTAATGCTTTCGGTGAAAAACGTCAATTTATTGACATAAATGGTGGTATCATTGATTTTGAATACATCAATAAACTTTTAAGCTTGCAAGAAGATGAAGGGTGTCATTTAGCAAATAAGCTTAAAAAGCATCATGGTTTTTACTCAAGACAAAAAATGAAAGTTAAGTTAGCGACCCAACTTTTAAGTCGATCTGTGTCTGAAGCTCTTAAGTTTTGTAGAGATAATTTAAAACTCCCTGATTTTAGAGACAGTGGTCCTACTATTACATTTATAAAATATTTCAATGACGCATTCGATATCCTAAATTCAAGGTCAATAAACCAGTATGGGAAATCAAAAGCTATCTGTAAAAAAAAAATTATTGAAATTAATACATTTTATGAAGAATTTTCTAATTATATTAAAAAATTACAGTTGGTAGAAAATAAAAATGGCCAAATAACTTATGTTCCAATTTTAAAATCTGCAAGGAAAACTGGTTTCCTAGGATTCCTCATTTGTTTTGAGTCATTAAATACATTATACAATCTTTATTTGAAGTCCGATTTACTCGAATTTATTTGTTTTTATAAACTTAGTCAGGATCATATTGAGATCTTTTTTGGTATAATCCGGTCTCACGGTGGCCACAATGATAATCCTACAGCTCGTCAGTTTAGATCTGCTTATCGTAAATTGTTGATAAATACTAGAATCAAAGATGGATCTCTAGGAAACTGTATACCATTAGATGAAATAAATATATTAAATTACTCTAGTGTAAAAAAAGTTATAAAAGATCCAGTAGACATAATAAATGATAGTAATGCTATTTTGTATAAAGATATAATTTCACAACCCCAAACTCATCATATTAAAGATCACAATTATATAATTAGATCAGATAAAATTACTATGAGTAACTATCAAAAAGAAGTTGTGATTTATTTTAAGTTGGTTTTATTTGTCATAGATTATCATCTAAAATTAAATGTGATATTTGTTGTAATGCTTTGTTTGGTGATAAAAATGATTTTATGACCTCATTGATTAATGTTAGAGACAAAGGTGGATTGTCTTATCCTAGTGATGATGTCATTTTAATAGCCCTTCAAACTGAAAAAGTCATGAAATCTTACACTTATGACCATTAAATAAAATGTTAATTGTTACAAAAACATTGAGTTATTTTTGTAACAATCATGTATTTGATTCGATTTATAACCATAATTTTGATAATGGCCCATTTTCAAACCATATAATCTTACTTATAAAATTTATTATTAATTCATATTTTGATATTAAAACACACTACTTGTGTAGAAAAAAAAATGAAACTGATTCATTACGAACTTGGTACAATAAAATTACATTATTTGAGGACAGTAAATTTTTATTTGAAACCTATACTTTTTTAAATATCATTATTAGTTTTTTTTATCTAGATTATGTTATGAATTATGATTATACTAAAAAATAAATGACTGCTCCAATAGAACTATTATTATTTTATTGTATTATTATTATTGTTGGGGACAAATGTCGTGCGAGGATCGCGGCATATTGGCCTCCTGCAAACTTGGTCGATAACATGATCGATTTCTTGAGAGGGGGTAGTTAGCTGTGCTGTTTTCCGATGGCTAGCCTGCTGCCCGCTCCCAGGACCGGTCTGTCGTCGGTCGTCTGCACATTCATCATCACCGTCGTGTGCTTGTGTTCATGTGTTTTACGTAGCCGTCTAGGCAAAATAGCATATCCGACATTTTTTGTACCGGTGCGTCGCCATCGTTAACACTGACAATCGCCGACGTCGTGTACACTGTACGCCACTCCATCGTTAGTGTTTTTTTTTGTTATATATTTCGCCGTCCATAGCACTCCGCACCACGTGGTTTTGACCGTCGTCGTCTCATCCACTCCGTTCTCATCATCGAGAGACTTCAGGAAACCTCTTACGTATCGGGCTCTCGTTGCCATTGTGAAGTTTTCGATCGCCATTGTCGCACCGTTGTTTTGTTTTTATTATCGTTCCGTGAGTGTTTTTTTTATTGTTTTGCCGACGTCGTGGCGCCATTAATTTCGTCATCCGAACGGTTGGGAAATTCCGTATTTCGGTTCGTGTCCTTGTAACGTCATCGCCGGGTGCCGAATCAACATTCTTCATTCACATGTGACAGCGGCGCCCTCTACATACACGGCAAGGAACCTTCCGACTGTTGCGACAGGTTGGCTATCGACCATATCGTTATCCAATTTCAATTTTGCGTTGGTATTACCAGGTCGTACACTTTTATCAATTTGTTATTATTATTGTTATTCTTTTATTATTAATAACTATTATTATTACGGGCGACCGCATGTGGTCGACTCACTTAGTCTATAAGTTCATAAAATATATTGTCTTCTGTCTTACAATCATTTAATATAATTTGCAATTGTTATATGTATTATTTAATACTTTAGTTGGTTGCCCCACCTTCCTCCACATCACTTCCAAACCTAACCATACAGTCCACTCTTTCTCTCATTTTCTCAGGTTTCTTTCCATACGACGATTTAATTATTTTACGATCGGAATCTTTGTCGGACGCCGTTCCGTGCGTATAAGCGATAGCCCATTCGATCGTCGGTTCTGGTGTACAACCGTTAACTGCCGTACATTTTGGTCCTTCGAGCCGGATCTTTTTCTTTTAGTTATTCCGTCGTAATTATATTCGTAAAAAATCTTTATCTATAATATTGTCGTTGTCGTTATGCCATCAATGAACGAAACACCGCATACCATGTTAGCGTGAGAGCGCGTCAAACGTGACTACGTACTAAAATCCATCGAAGGCATTCATGTCACAGCATTAGGTGCACAAACCGATGCCAGTAAGTTACCGTCATTACACATTCATGTCCAGGATTTAGACGGTTTTGTTGAGGAATTTCGCCGGCGACAAGACTTAATCATAAATGCATTAATCGACCTCAATCGTGTTTCCGATTTTGAACGGGAGGATAGTCCCAAGACGACGTCAATGGAAATCATGCGTCTCGAAATTAAAACCATAGCCGCGCGTGATGCTCCGGAAAATAAATCAACGCTTTCTTCCTCAACTGTTACTGTTACACAGCACCTCGTTCCGTTACCGAAAATCCAACTACCCAGTTTTAATGGTAGTTTACTCAAGTGGCGAACGTTTCGCGATGTTTGCATATCCCTTGTACATGACAACACCGGTATAGGTAACGCCGAACGCTTTCACTATTTATTTTCATGTTTGTCTGGTTCAGCGCTCGATTTAATCAAAACGATTCCGTTATCTGCTGATAACTACGCCGTCGCATGGGACGCACTGTCTGATCGGTTCGACAATAAACGTCTTTTAGCGTCCGCACACCTTGATAAGTTATTCGCGTTTAAACCCATTGCACGAGAATCGCTACCAGCTTTAATCGCGTTCGTCAACACTTTCAAGGAAAAAGTGTCAATTATCAAATCGCTTGGTGTCGATGATCTCTCCAATTTTTTGCTGTTCTATATGGGATCTCGGGTTCTCGATTCAACGACGCTTTCGTTATTTGAATCTAATATATCTCATTCAAATATCCCAAACTTCGACGAACTATTAAGCTTTGTACAACACCGATGTAAAATTTTGGAAAATCTTAACAATTCAAGTAAACTCGATCGCGAAGATAAACCATCCGAAAGAGCGAACGTCCGCGGTAAATTTTCTAAATCAACAAAATCAGTGTTCACCACTACCACGTCTACATCAGTCAAACTTAGGTCGAAAAATTGTTTGTGTTGCGATAAGCCTGACCACCGCATATATCAATGCCCGAAGTTCGCCGGAATGACGGTTGATAAACGACGAGAAACCGTCTTATCTCAGAAATTGTGTTTTGCGTGTATGAGTCCGACTCATTCTGTCAATGCGTGTTCATCAACTAAATGTTATAATTTATGCAACAGCAAGCTACACAATACAATGGTTACCCAAATATAATTCTTGTTACTTGCTATTTTTAGTTATTTTCAATAAAATGATATTTCATACAATAAATAAGAACTTATCAGCTAATGATATTTATTTATTGGAAACGTTGACGTCAATGTCTAAAAATAGATATATCAACAATAATTTGTCGAATGGGTCATTATAATATAATCTAAAGCCGCGTCCACACTGTGTCGAATGGTGTCGATCGACAATGTCGAACAAATGTGTACGTATCGCCCGGCTTTATTGAAACATGTCGGATCGGGTCGAATGCAACCCGAATCAAGTCGGTACGGATCAAAGAGAATCGAATCGATGACAGTAGTGTGGACGTGTCGAAGCAAGTTGCTCGACTTTACAAAAAACATCAGATGTTATCACACAACTTTATCTGAACAAAAACTGATAAAAACATTTTAATTGTGCATAGTTTTGTTACTAAGTGCATTTATTTTGATTTTAGTGTTATTAATTTTAGTTTATCATCAATTCATAATGAATTGGAGTGATGAACAAACAATTTCTTTTATTGAAATGTATCGTGATCGAAGTTTATTGTGGGACCCAACTGATTCACAATACAAACATAAAAACAAAAGGCATGATGGGCTAATGGAAATTGCGATTTCTTTTGGCATTGAAAAACTTGAAGTAGAAAAGAAAATAAAAAATTTGCAAAGCCAGTTTGCTAGAGAAAAGAAAAAGGAGAAAGAGTCGAGAAAAACTGGGAGTGGTACAGACGAAGCATACACTAGCAGATGGTTTGCATACAAAAGTATGATGTTCTTGGCCGATAAGAACACTCCAAAAAACACTCAAGATACCGAGGTAAATAAAATAAAATATTAATAGTTTTAAAGGTTTGGCAGGGTGACCAATATAATATATTTTACATAACATAATGTTATTGTACTCTCACTAATTTACAATCGCTTCACTTCATATCGTTTGTTATCGATTTTCTTAGGTCGATAAAATAAAACATGAAAATTAAAATTATTATCCGACTTTATCTCGCAGATAACAGTTGTTGTTGTCGTATTGTAGTGTATTTACCTATCAGTGGTTTTCAAAGTCTTTTAAAACACATAAAGTGTTTTATAAAGTGTTTCATAAAGTCATATTATCATTTATCGTACTGAAAATGTAATTCCCCTTGCGCAGATATAAAATATTTTGCAAATTCCTCTCTAACCGTCTGAGCCTCAATACAACTTCTCTTTGGAACCGTAGGCAAGTTATTTATCTGGCTAGTTGATGGGTCACGCCTCCATATGCCTGGTACTACTTCTCCACTGTTAGGAAATTCAGAATCCAACATCCCAACCGAACAGTAAACATTTCTTGATCCGCTATTTCTTAGATAATTATGCAAATAAATTGCAGCCAGTGTCACTTTAGTTGCTACACCTGGATCCAATAAAATTGGTCTTCTAAATATACGAAAACTAGAAGACATTATACCAAATGCATTTTCAGAAACTCTTCGAGCTCTACTTAAACGGTAGTTGAATATTCTTTTTGTTGTTCTTTTGTTATGAATTCCAGAAAATGGCTTCATAACAGTAGGGGTTAGTTGAAAAGCTTCGTCTCCAACAAATACATATGGTATCGGAAGGCTTAATTGTGGTAATGGACGTGATGGGGGAAGGTGCATCTTGTTGTCATCTAGACATTTCTTAAAAAACGTACCATTTAAAACTCCACCATCGGAAATTCTTCCTTGACAACCGACGTTCGTGTAAATAAAATTGTAATTTGCATCCACTACTGCCAGCAAGACAATACTAAAAAAGCCCTTGTAATTAAAAAATTCCGTTCCTGAATGTTCTGGTGCTTGAATATTTATGTGTTTACCATCAATGGCACCTACACAGTTTGGATAGTTCCACTTGTCATTGAACAATTTTGCTACACGTTCCCATTCCTCTGCACTTCGCGGTACCTGTAAAAAATCATAAAACATCATAATAGTGTTATTATTATAAGGTTTAATTTTATTTTGTATTATGTTTTATGACTAGGGTTAGGATGTTTATGCACTTCAAAAAGCATAAATATGTATGCATTTATTCACTATATATTGTACTTATAAATAAAAAATGGTAAAATATGCAATTATATGCAAAATAAAATGTTCATATTTTGAATATTGATAATATAATGATACACATTTATATATAAAAATGAAAGCTATTGGACAACCTAAAAAAAATATGCAAAATCATAAACATCCTAACCCTATTTATGACATAAATACTATTTTATCATGAAAAATTGTTTATATTCTGCTTTCATTTTTTCAGGGTTCAGAAAATCGGGAAGCCGTAGAAATACAGGACGAAAATAATGATAACATAGGAAACGTGGGCAAGGTGGTCGAGACTTCAACCGCGGAAGACAATGACGCAACTATAAACACATCGTTTACAAAAACATTTTCCCCAAAAAAACAGATTAAAAAACGTAAATTAGGTTCAACTTCTGGTGCCAGTGTACCAGTTCTTGATGAAGCGGTAACCCTGTTGAGATCTATTCAATCAAACAGGAAAGATAAAGATGAATATCAACTATTTGGAGAACAGGTAGCCATCAAACTAAGGAATATCACCTCACCACAAGCAAGGTTTGCGGCTCAACAAATAATTAATAAAACTTTATTTGAGGCAGAAATTGGGATGATAGGTAACTCGTACAATTCCCAACCCATTTTTTATCAGCAAACATATCCCAACATGTATCCACCTCAAAATCTAAACTATCAGTCACAGATATCGCCTTACCCATCACTTTCATTTCCAACGTTAAATTCACCAAGTTCATCTTCAACCTTACCTGCCTCGCAGTCATCTGTTTCTACTCATTCTGAATCTACTTCTGATAATTTCTTAGGACTAAACACCTATACTGAAAATGAGTACCAACAGTTGTCATTGTAGGAGAAAAGTGAACTTGATGTAATTTCATTTTTTTAACTTTAATTAAATTTAATTAAAAAATGTATTAAAATAAATACTAGAACATTAAAATATTTGTTGTTTATTTCTTACCTTGACATAATTTTGTAGCGCTACTATCAGAGCATCACATACTTCTGGTACAATGTAAGATATTGCTTGCTTTGATATCTTCAAGAGGTATCCCAATGAAGTGTAAGAATCTCCGGATGCCAAAAAACGTAGAGTAACTGCAAGGCGTTGGCTCACTGGAATAGCTTTTCTGAATGACGTATCTTTTTTAATGATTTTCGGTGCAATCATACTTAATATATTTTCAAAATCTGAATTATTCATTCTAAAAAAGTTTTGAAAGCCGAAGTCACATCTGTATTCTAGGTTCAATTCATCAACCTCATCAAGCAATAAATCTTTCATAAACTCATCTGTACTGTACTTCTTTCTGCCTCGGACGAGGCTGGGCCTTACCCAAAACCTCCTTGGGCGGCGGTGACGAACTTGTTGGCTACTAACAACTCCTATAATAATTGCAGCAGCTGCCACTGCAATATCTTCTGAATCGCTCATTTTATATATCAATAACGGTATCAATTATTATCAGTATTAATATCAATATTATTAGGAAAAAATAGGTTTAAAATACGATGTGATAAAAACAAAATTTGATAAAACACACTCGATACCGTGTCTGTACAATTGTATCGGTCGACTAGTCCACACTTATTGAGTTTAGTTGAAAGGCAAGTTGAAAGTCGACCGTGTTGTTCGACAGTGTCGATCGACACCATTCGACACAGTGTGGACGCGGCTTAATAACTAAAACTGTGATTTTGACAATATTATCAAGTTAAATTTTGGATTCTTTGAGTAAAAATGAAATTATCTAAATTTATACTTTCATCTTATTAAAATGTTCGTAATTAGGCATACGAATGTTCGTTTTATGTTAAGTTCGTACAATAGTTTGAATGTTCGTACTAAAACGAACATGTTCGTACGCCTGTATTACTGTATGACGTACTGTCCCGACATACCTGGACAAACGCTATCCACCATAAGAACGGAATCCGTTATCGAACAAATTGAAGGTAAACGCGCGTTCCCGTTTCCATTCTATTAAACCTGTGCGCAGTTATCATTTTCGAGCGCGCGAAACGTTTTACACGGCGAGCGTGATACAACGAAAGTTGCGGTGTACACACACCGCATCCTACCAGCGGCCATTTTTCGTGCTGTATTTCGCTGTTGCTGTTGTCAGTTCTCCGCGCCACTTATAGTTCTTTGTTTTGTAACGTTCTTTTTTTACATGCTCTCGGCAGTGATGGCGACCAATTAATAGACGCTTAACGGCGTTCGACCATTGCGTTATCGCCGTCAAGTACAACGCGACATATCGTTCCATTCTCCGACGTGTAAACCGAACACGACATATATCGCCGTCGGCCCCCATTTTTCCCGTGAACCACATTGTCGTTTCCGCGTCGGCCGTTTTCTCTCTGTGTCGCGTGTTAAATCGTGCATAGCCGTTCGTCTGTTGTCGGTCGCACTGGTTCGATGTTTTCTTTGATTTAGTTCGACTAAAACGTTCAACTATTTATTTGTTCGTTTTATTTCGAACACCGTAGCCTGATTTTGGTACCTGAGTTCAACTTGGTCATTAAGTAGAATAGACGTTATATTTTGTCGGTGATGTTACGGTTGGGAAATGCTCCAACGATACGAGTCTGAAGCGCCAAAGTGAAATTTACACGAACTGTGAACGAATAAGAATCGGAACCCTTTCCTGTTTAATAAAAAAATTAAAAAGTACAGAGTTTTTGTACTGTTTTAGGATCCGATTCGTTTATCAACCGTCGAAAATAATGAGATAAATAATGCATAAATCAATATTATAATATGAACGTTAAAATATTATGATTTATGTTTAAAGAATAAAAAATGTTTACTAGTTTGTGTTTACTTATGTTTACTAGCACGCGCACATCTAGGTTGAGTGAAAACGCGGCCGTATGCCTGCAAACGAATATTATCGAATTTTGGTTACGTCAATGTTCTATTTGACGAATTCGGGTGTTGTGTCACGGTGCAATATTGTGTGGCATCAAAATAACTTGTAAAAATAATATTTTATATTTATTTTGTGTTATACGTGTATGAACTATGTATAAATGTTTGCCATTATGCTGTCGTTCGTCTGCGTGAGATTTATTTAAGTTGCTTCGTAATTAAAGGTGAACGCTTTTCTTGGTGTGCGAATACGTAGTACGCCTCATGTTTTATAATCTGAGTCACGATGAATTACAAAAAATCTCTAAAATTGGTTTGTTTAATATCGGGTATTCCGGATTGATAAATGGTGAACGTCACATCAGTTCGATAGTTGACGCGAGTTCATCGTATATATATATATATAAAAAAAGAACATATGTGTAAAAAAATATCCGTTTATAGTCCAATTTTTTTATTTACATTTAAATGGCTGCACATCGAAAATGTGGATTAATTATAAATAGCATAAAGCCACGTACACACTTAAAGTGCTCACAGTTCGAGTAAGGACATTGTTTCTTGTATGAACGTATATTACGTGTAACAAGTTTGTATGCGATAAATTTGCGCTCTGGATATTCAGTTTAGTGAACGTATACAGTTTATGTTGTGTTTTGTATATTAAATGAGATCTCATGATTGAACCCCTCCAAATCATCTCCCAGTGTAGAAGTTGTGCACTGCATCTAACCAGCCCTTTTGAATAAACAAGCATTGTTTATTGACGAATTCGGGTGTTTTATTACAGTGAAATATTATCTGCATAATTCTTTTAGCCAAAGTAATGTAACGATTGTTACATATTATTAATTTCTACTCATATAATATGGATATTGTTGAATTTACGTTACGTTCTAATTATGACATAAGTTATCCGTTACTGTTTGTATCTAATACAAACGACGGATAATTAACAACTGATAGCAAAAAAATGGTTATTTATTATAATTTATCATATTACTTTAAATATTTAAATATACAGGGTGATTTTTTTATCGTGAACCAGTAAATATCTCGGGAAGTATTAGGAATTTTAAAATAATTTTTTTTTTAAACTTTCTAGGTTTTAATACCTAGAATAATACCAACAGCCCTACAGTACCTATTAAGCCAGCTAGCTATTCTCGCAGGAGTCATAACAAGCGTGCTCAACATACTGGTAGTAGCAGTAGCCGTCTTAGATACGAAGGCAATGGTGGTGTAAGATTCACCCTGTATCGCGTAACCTCCCACATATAATGCGTTTTCATTACTATCAGTTATAGTCCTGCCACTAACCTCACCAAGAAGCAGTTTGAAGAATAGGCAGTAGTCAGCATCTGGCGTATCTGCGTACAAAATAGCGGTCTCCTCGTTGTACAATGCGTTCGAGAACTTGACCAACTCACGGGCAGTGTAAGGTGTATGTGTCACCTCACACTGGTCGTCGCACTTCATTACCTGTAACTGAGCTAGATGCCGCTAGATACATTATACCACCTTTAATTATCCGCAAATCGTAGTCGCTGTCCATAATATCCATCCTCGCTGCTTGGTGCAAGTTAGTTAATTGAACACCATTACTACCATCACTGTCCACTTGTGATAGCGTCCGCGCCTCAAATCCTAGCCCATTTGCTAGCGTCTTCAAGTCATAGCTCTCACTCTTAGCTAATATGTTAAAATTAGGTAAGAATTGAGGCGTATGCCCAATTTCGAATGTTTACAGTCTATCACTTTCCTGTTTCTAGATACAGTGAGTTAGCCAATAGTAGCTAACAATCTCTGGTGTTAAGGACTATGTAGTGTTACCAACTTGATTGCTCTGCTCTAAATTAGAAACACACAAACTAACTAGCCTGCCGTTCATCGTCTATCTCCCATCTCTTGGAATAGGCGCTTTAACACCAACCATAGTCCGGGCCATATTTAGAGCCTGCCCATACAAGTCTGAATTGGACACATCCAGATTAGCACCAAGATAAGGTTTAATGTCTGTTTTAATATCCTGTGCTCGCTTAAATATTACACCCTGTAATCTCAGATGCATCCTAAACTTACCTATGCTATCAACAACGATGTTGTTTGATTGCTTGAGCAAATCATCTATTAGAGACTGCGACAGTGACAGACCACCAGCTGGCAAATTAGCCAATCTCGGTTGAATCTTATCATCGTCCCCAATCTTAACCAACTTTCTATTATCAACCACCTTCTTCCCATAATCGAACGCTTTTGCATACATCTTCGTTTCAACCAGCTTGGCACTAACATCATCAGGAGTGAGGATTGGCGCATAGTCTAGGCCTTTGGCACTAGAAAAGAACTTATCTTCTTTACCCTTATCAATTTGCTGCTTTGGGTGGTTGTTGAGCATGTTATCGGTCTTACGAATCATTTTGATTAGTAAGCGTGAGATAGTTGAGTAGTATAAATACAATTAAAAAATCTCGGTTTTTATCAAATAATAAAAATTATTATTTGATAATATATATTGCAATTGTAAAACCAACAGCTAAACAAAATATGTATCTCGTAGCAATTCGGCCACAACGTCTATCAGCCTCACTCTGATACTCGTATGTATGTATGTATGTATGTCATTTCCCATTGACTATCTAATTTCAAGAATCTAAAAAAAAATTAAAATTATAGTGCATGAAAAAAAATATTTTTTGTTTATTTAAATATAATCGTATATCGTATAATGTGCATTTTTAAAACATTGGATGAAACAATAAAATTCTTTTAATTTTTTAAGTGTTAACAATGTATAAAAGACTAAAATACATGGTTTCCACCGTTCAAATAATATCACTTACTAATTGAGACTTAAATTCATGGTTTTGATCGTTAATCAATTTTGCTTCTATTGCTTTTAATTCATCCTCTGTATGGATAGGAGTTCTAATGCATGATTGGTTTATCAAAGATTGATTTTCGAAAAATATCTGCAAAGTAGATCTATTCACATTATTTGTTGTATAAATTTTGTGTTCAATTCTATCAAGTACATCAAACAATAATCTGTTGTCGTAACGTAATCTAGCAACTTGTCTTTTCACCAAGTTCTAGTTTATGGACTAAAAAAAAAAATTATTAAAATTGGCTTAAATGTATTTTATCATTTCACATAGGTTAAAATTAAAATATACATTTGAAATATTTGAATACATATGTTAAATATACATGATAATGAATTTACCTAATGTATTGATGACACCCATTAATCCATAATTATTAGTATTATTATATTGTAGAACTTGTTCAGGTTGAAGAATTTTTATTCTATCAATTGGAGAATCTATAAAATAGAATAAATTTAAAAGTAATAAAGTAAAATCAAAAGTTATAAGATAATTATTGTTAACAATATTTATTTACTTGAAGAATCTGAAAGTGATTGGCGAATATTTGAAGGCTAAATCATTCGCTGTAAGATCATCCGGAATTTCATTTGTTGCGCCTTGACCGTTCAAAATATCAGATATATCGGAAATGATTTTAAATCCTTTGTTTTTATTTAAAGTAGTAGTATG